TAAATAGCAGTGTAAAATCTTCACTTTTGTTTCATTCTAGCTTTCATGTGTGATTACTACAATTTGACAGCCATTTCATTTAGTTTTTGTAAAATCATTTGAACTTAAAGAGATATAAAGGTTAATTTGGACCTCAGGGAAAACTTTTCTACAGGATTGATGGCATTTTTAGTGATTTTAATTGGCATGTTGTATGGGATTAATAGCAATAAAATTATTTGTAATACAACCACAAATCAAAATACAAATAGAAAAGAATGCGGTGATTTGTGAAATTTACTTTGACTTGTATTTCATTGCAGACAGTAGATATGTCAAGCTTTTTCTCTGGTCAACTTCATTTAATTTGTACATATACATCCATTCCTGCCATTTAGGACTGTAACACATTTCAAAAAAGTTGGGATGGGGGCCATTTAGGGCTAGTAATGAGGTAAAATAAATAATGATGTGATTTGAAACGGGTGATGCGAACAGGTGACTGTAATCATAATTTGGAATCTTTTAATTATGTTATGCACCGTAGAGGGTGAAATTACCAAAATCCCCTCCTATCTTTCTTTGAGGAATATTGTTTTTAAACATTTCAATGATTTTCTCATGCATTTGTTGGAAAACTGGCAATTATCTGCCTATCTTTGCTTTGTGAAGGACTAGACCTTTCCTGGATGTTGCTTTTGTACCAAATCATGATTAGTCACCTCTTTCAAATCACCTCATTATTAAATTTTTTCCTTTTTTCTAGCCCTAAATGGCCCTGTGTCAACTTTTTTTTTTTTGGAATATGCTGCAGGCCTGAATGTCAGAAATGGATGTATATTTATGAATAAAATTATGTTGGCCAGAGAAAACATAAAATTTCATTCTGTTTGCAATAATAGAAGTCAAAGTAAATTTTAGAAAGCTTTCTTTTTTATTTGCATTTTCCACACCGCCCCAGCTTTTACAGATTTGGGGTTGTAACTTAATCAATTGTGTTTGAATGACTGAAGTGTAATGTTTTGACATTTTTTAGGATGCTGATGAAGAGCAGACGTTCAGCAGTACTGCTACTGGGATCCTCATTGTGGAGCGTGATGAAGGAGGGCACCATCTGAACTCCCTGTGCTTGAATCCATTGTCTGTGGGGATCATCCTCGAGGGTAAAGTTGTCATGGACAATCTTCACGACCTCCCACAAGCTATGTGCCTTTTGTTTGGGCTCACTTATGCATTACACCTTGACTACCCAAAGTGTATGAGCTACACATTTGAATTCATCCAGCGGGTAATACTAAATTTAGGCCAGAATAAACTAAAACCAAAATTGCAGTCCCTGTTAAACAAGCTTCTTCTGTAAAACAGTTGATTACGTAACAGTTGCTAGTTTTTGGGCCAGCAAACTGATCATCACTGATAATCTTCTGTTTTTTTGAATGTTAGGAAACAGCTGATCTTTGATCTGTGGAAAACAGTAAATATGTTCTAATATAGCACTGTTGTACAATGAAAAACGTGTTTTTCATTTTTGTCTTTTGTATTTTTTGCATCACAAAGTAGCTGGTCTTTATACTACATAAATAATTTAGGATGAACGGACCAATAGAAATGCTCCAAAATTACTTGGAATAAAACATTTTTACTTTAATTTACATTCAAAGTTAGGATTTTGGAATTTTTGAGATACATTTTTTCATTGGGCAGTGACAATTTATATTGTCAATTTTTTTTCTTGAACGTTTATGTTTAGTTCATGTTCAGAATTACTGTTTATGCTTCATGTCTACTTCTCCCTGCACTAGAACAGAAAGCTTCTTGTTGACTAATAAAAGAAAGAAAATATTTACATCAGCCACTTTAATTTCTTGGTGCAGTGTTCAACAGATTAACGCAGGGAATAATTCATGTAAGATCATAGTTCGTATATTCATTGCAAACACTTCCTCAATTTTGAAAGTTTTTGTCTGAGTGATGTCCTTTTTTTTAAAAAAAAAAAAGTACTGGTACGAATAAATGTGGCTCTATATCAACACTGTCTTATTTTAAAGATTGTATGCACAGTTGCTGGAATGACAGATAAAAGGCTCAGTATATTAAACATCTGTACCAAGTATGCAACACTACTTATCCTGTGGGTTACGCTGTGTTTGCACCAGAATTTATTCGTTTTCCATGTTCTTCACTTTGAAGTTTGAATTTTAAGTGAAGTGTGCAATCAACCAAATGATTTTAAGGTTTATATTTGCACAACTTGGAGCTTTGTGAGTTGCTGTCAAAGTGTTGTCACTTTTTTCACAGTTTTGTGAAACTGCTGCTCTTTTCCAATAAATAAGATTTGATACCATTGATTTGATGTCATTTGGATTTTTTGCAGTTGTAATATTAGTGCCACCTTAATTTACAATAGTTTGGGTATAAAACCAGTACGGTGTGCATATTTTGGTGAGTGACAACAACTTCTTATAATCATTGCAATAAACCTAAACAAGCAAGTTAGATCAGTTGTGCAATAGTTACTTTGACTTAAAAAGTTAAGTTACAGGTGCAGTACATTTTGAGTGTCAAGTACTTAGCGTTTGTCTGTTGAACTTGAAGACATGCGTTTGTTCAACTCAATACAGTATTACAAATTACTAAAAAAACTGAGTTTCGAAAACTTGATTTGAGTAAACTTAACTTATTAGGGTTTACAGTGTATTCGGAAGCGCGGGACCCACCATGGAAGAAACCAGAGATTTTTTCATCACTTTGCCGAGTAACGCTAGCGACAAATTATACCCTCAAAACGATATATCCAGCTACAGGGTGAAGTTAGCCAAAACTATTCATCTCAGGGGCGGTTGGGAGGTCGGTGTAGCCGAAATATAATTTCCCCAGAATTGGTACACGGTGGCGGACGGCGGGCGACAGGAAACGGACTTTTGGGTGTGTGAAGGGCCGGATCTCAGCAAACAGGTGTCTTTTAAATTAAAATGCGGTTATTATACTTACATTACTGACATTTTGACTTAAATGAACAAATATTTTAGAACCACCAAAACCCACGTCGAATTATATTTGGATAAGGTCACGAGACGGATAAAATTAGGGGTCACACCGGAGGAGATTAAATGACTGACCTCGCTAAACAGATGGCCTATTCAGATTCGAACGCACGGACAGTTGGCGCACATTCTGGGCTTCGAGGAACAGAAGTGGACGGACCCGACCGAAACTAAATTCCCTGCCCATATTAAAGGCGGAACGTTTTATTTGTTTCTTTATTCGGATATTTCTTCGCATCAGATTGTAGCCGATACCTTAGCACCTCTTTTGAGAACCGTTCAAATATCCAAAGCGCATCTGGATTTCGTCACGCTAAACTTTGCCAAGGTGCATTACAACCCGGTCAGCAAACACGTGTTTGATGAAGTTTTAATAGAGTTAAAGACGGATCAAAACCAAAACGTCAAATTCGAATTTGGAAAAGTGATCGTGAAGCTACATTTTAGACCGATCCGATAAAAATGTCTGCTTATTACGCCAACCCTAGCCTTATCGGCCCTAATGACGGATTTTGCGTCATAAATCACACCTTGTCTTCTCAGCTTTATAACTCAGGAATGCTTTACCGCAGCAGTTCACTACGCACATCCTCAGAAACTGCGGAGTCTCCCGCTTCTAAAAACAGCGGCCCCATCGCGGTCCGACGAAGCGTCTGTGAGTAATCCACTGTGGAAAAACAGTCAAATAGACGCTCCTTCACAGTTTCTGTTTTATTCTTCTAGTAAATCTCAGTTTCTGTGCTGATAAACTCTGCATTTCGCTTTATTTACACTACCATTATTTATTATAGGGCTTCTGAAATGTTTACACGGTGTTTCAGATCTAATATCTGATTAGTTGAGTCAGTATTATCGACCGAAAACGCCTCTTCAGCGCCTCTCAGCGCCTCCGCCGATTAGCCGCTCTGAAGCTCCAGGCGCGTCTTTTACTGCCCTCCGCTAAAAAACCGCTCTTTCGCTCCGCTCCTCGCGCTCTGATCACCGCGTGCGCGCGCATCTCGCTTTATTTCCACTACTATTGTTTATTATAGGGCTTCTGAAATGTTTACACGGTGTTTCAGATCTAATATCTGATTAGATGAGTCAGTATCATCGACCGAAAACGCCTCTCAGCGCCTCCGCCGAGTAGCCGCTCTGAAGCTGCGCGCGGCTCGGCAGTGTTCCTGCTGTGTTTGTGCGCGTGTTTCCTAGCAACGGCTCGTTGGTCACGTGACGCGCATCTAGAACAGAAAAGCTGCGCGCGCACCTTCCGAGTCTTCTGGCGTCTGTCCAACCCCGCTGGACTGATCCAGATTTCAGGTTTATATTACGGTACAGACTCTTTATTGTGTGTTTTCTAGATAAACTAGTGTTTATCTGATAATTTCTGGAAGGATTCTTTATTATAGGAGTCATTGTTATTATAAGGAGCTGATAATAAACACACAGTGTACTAAAACAGGGCTGTATTAGCTGGAATATTAGCCATATTGGCCCTGAACAAAAAACCCAAAGGCTTGACCTGTTGTGTCAGCCTGTCACATGCAGTTTTAGCAATCTGCATGTCTCCTTTAGGTGAGAATATCAAGAAAAATAAGTCCGCCTGATGCTAATCACATACTATATCACAGTAATAAGCCATATAATGAACAATCATCAAAATTTTTATATTTTCAGCTCATAGACACTTTATCCTAAAACTTTCTCATTGACATCTAAGAGGTGCAGTGATGTTTTGAATAGATACAGTCAAAAATAAGTACAGGCGCTTGGTAAATTTTTGATCAAAACATGTCCAGTTTCATAAAAATATCAAACTTCTGTGGGCATTTACAACTCAGGTGATAACATATTTGAGAAGCCACATGTCTTCTGAAAATAAAACAACATATAACATGTGGCTGTCTCATATAATTACTAGAGTTACAACAACTGAAAGAGGAACTGACAAAAAAGGGGGGAAAAAAAACATCTAAGGGCTAGCCCCTACGTCCTCTATTATACGCGACAGGCGGGGTCCGGTTTAGAAGGTTTCAGCGGAGCGCCCGTGCAGTACGGAAGAGGGATCGGCAAAGTTTTTCGGGGTTTGTTTAGACTGGCGGTGCCTCTGCTAAAATCGGGCTTCAACTTGGTCAGACCGCACCTCAAGACCGCTGCTAAAAATATCGCGAAAGACGTGGTTTCCGCAGCGGCGGGGAAATTACCGGGAAACGCGTCGGAAAGGCGGCAGGAGGGCGAAGCCTTGGTGGTTTTGAGCCGTGCGAATCGGAGCATGCGCACGCCGGGGCGACGCGGTTCCGTACCTTTTAAAAATAAAGGCGTTTTTTCAAAAGGCCTCAGTCTGAACAGGAAGTTGCACTGTAAAAAAAATATTTGTTCACTCAATTTAACTTAGTCAAGTAATCTTTTTGCTTTGACTCAGTTAAGTTGTAAAGATATAACATGTTAAGTTTATACAACTTAACTAAGCTTTGTTTACACAACAATCTGTTAATTTACTCAACTGTTTATTTAAAGTATTGTCAGCTTAAAGAATTTAGTTCAGACAACTCTAAACATAATTGGTAGAACTTATTTTTTTCAGTTTTGACAACCATGCAGTAAGTTCATTTAACATGAAATGGCTCATTTTCTCAATTTAAGTAAAATTAAAATTTTAAGTTGTATAGGTTTAATTAAGTTCATAAAATATTTTTCAAGTCATGATCTAAATCAACTAAACATAGTTCAAATCAGCCTACTAAAAGTTTACTCTGAAATGACAAATGAGGAATACATTTTGTTTGGTATGCCTTTTTTTTTTAATTAATAATTCACACTATTTCCATTCAGACCAATAATGTGGAAAGCTCAGAAGTCTACCGTAGAACACACCAGTGCCACTGACAGTAATCCACACTTACACAGTACAAGTACAGTTCCTGTTGATTGACAGTGTGCGTTCAAGAATGTCATCACACCACAACACACCACACCATATACCTTTTGAGCTCACATTAACTGGCTGAAACAGATAAAAGTGTGAAAACACAGAATGGTGGTACGATCCCCAACTACAACACAGAAAAAAAGAAAATTACTTTCTGAACAAAATTTTGAAAGTAAGGATCTTTGGCCATTGCATCCATGCACCCAACCCTGCAAGGTAATAGCAATGTGCTAGTGTGAACTGAAGAGCAAGTGCCAGAAAATAGGTAACATGCCTTTGTCACTAGTGATAAATCTGACGATTTAACCTTAAACGTTGACACAAATACAGTTTGGTGTGGCTACTAAATTGAAGATACAGACTGTGGTCTGGTTTGGAACACAAATATACAACAGCAATTCAGTTTCAGAACAGTTCAAGCTTGCCAGGTTGAAACAAAAAAAAAAAAAAAACACTCCTCTTAAACATTTTTAAATTTCCTCTCACTGACGTTTCTTAATGGCTCAAAAAAGTGCTGTTATTAAATTAAGCAACCATTGCCAGACTCAAATAACCATCACAAAGCTAATGACCAAGTATTTTATTAACGTGTGCAAAAGTATGCACAGGAAAATCACATTTCACATTATGAAGAATTTAGTATTTAGGAAACAATACTGGATGGGGAATTACTGTAGAATTTACAGGACAACATTACTTAAGGACAGAAGATCGATCTGTTACTGATAGATGATAAAGCATAGTTACTGTCGGACATCTCTCCCACATCCAACAGTAACAATGCGCTCCCGCGTCCGACAGTGCACTGTTGCTGTCGGACGCGGGAGCGCATTGTTACTGTTGGATGTGGGAGAGCATTGCACATGCACAGACCATGTTAAACCAATTTCAATGATCAACAATGTAGTATTTGGGGAACTTGTAGACAAAAGCACTAAGAATAAATACACCATATTCTGCAAAAATTGTTGGAGGACAAGAAGACTGATTTTGCAGTCTTGGAAAACAATTTTTTACATAATGGACCAAGAAAAATCAATAAAATAATTTAAAACATAAAGCATTAAAGGTTAAGGCTGTAGAGAACTACACATTACACCCACAAAAAATTCTCTCTTTAACTCAGTAATTTATTCTTCAGTGTGTGGACTCTTGCAGTGCAGGAATCTACTCCAATGCCCATGAACAGATGCTGAATCACCTCAAAGGTATATTTGAGTTCTTTGGGGTAGTTCATGTTCAAAACATAGAGCAGCCCCATCAAGTTCATAAAAGCATTTGGTACATCACCAAGATTACGAAGGACAACTTGCTCTTCGATCACCAGGGCCACATCACTGTAGATCACTGGGAGTGGCTCCTTCACATCCTCTACAATGGCAAGGATTCCAATAGTCATTCTTTTGATGACATCCTCCTCACAATTAGTGGGCTTTATAAAAACAAAAACATAAACTGCGGACTTAGGTTTTAGAAGGTGCTTGCACACACAATACTCCAAAAGACAGCTTCATAAATAGTACCTCATTTTTAGTATAAATTTGTTTGAACTGTTCCTGTAGTTTTAGCATACCTCACATATCTTCATGAATTTAGCAGGATTCTCTCTCATGTACCAAGGCAGAGCCTGCAGCACCGCTGCCCTCTTCCTTTGGTTTGATGCCTACCAAAGCAAAAACCGCATAAAAACTCTCTCTCTCTCTCTCTCTCTCTCTCTCTCTCTCTCTCTCTCTCTCTCTCTCTCTCTCTATCTATCTATATATATAAATAATAGCTTAGATCAACTGTCAAGTTATTGGATCCTGCACCATATTGTTTGTAAATCACAGCTTCTGCAGGACATACAATAAAACTGACATTTGTTCTATTAAAAAGCTGTTTGAAAATAAACATTAACTTACATCCTTGTCAAGGCTCTCCAGTATGGCAGTCATTTCTGTCATCCCTTCAAAACGTTTTGACCGGTACAACTGAAGAAGCTTCAGGAGATGGGAGTCAAGACCCCCATAAAAGGACTTGCTAAGGTCCATCGACACAAGCCTGGTGAATTCCATGCTGATCTACATGAAATATGAGATCACATTACATGCTTACTATAGCGTAGAGCTGGGCAATATGACAATATTTACAGTTATCCTGAAAATTCCCTCACAATATGCCTTTCGGAATGTGCCGTGGATGTTATCAGTACTTAAAATACACTTCCAGACAGCATATTTAATTGTAGAGAGAGCATAATCAGTTCTACTTAACTGGATTAACATAACGCAGTGTATAAAATGTTGAATAGTTCTGGATAGTATTTTTAAAAAAATGTGAAACTGCTGTTGAGAGTTTTCAGATGGGAGGAAAAAATATTGTCAACTACTGTAAATCGTAAAAAGTTCTGTAAGTATTATATTACATTTTTGCCATATCACCCACTTATACTACAGTATTTCTTTACAATCCAAGCATTTATATTTAAAGTAATAATAAACAAAAAAAGGAACCTGTCTCTCAGTGAAAAGTGCCGGCCATCTGACTTTCACTTCCGACACTGGAGGCTCATCTTCAACAATTTCCTGTCTTCTCAAAGAATATGTGCTGCTCATTCTTGCATCTACAAAAGCAAAGTCAGGGTTCCTTTTCTTCATTTCTTGAACGATTTGCTCTCGTTCCTCTTCCAGACTTTTCCGGTCTTTTCCCTGTGGGAGATCTGGAAGAAAGTTTGTTTCAGACCGTCTAGGCTTCTTCACTTGGTTTCGCTTTCCTCTGGCCGCGCCAGGACCTCTCTTCTCTGAATTCACTTTCAGTTCTTGACAACCTGCATCCCTTAACTTTTGTCTATAGTTCCCCATCTTAAATTTTAGACAGTTTCCACCCATACCACCCAGATGCGGAGCCTGGCTCTTTTAGACAAGGGTGTTTTTCAACAAGAGCAATTGCTACACTTTCAAATTCCTCATTCCCAGGATAGGCTTTGTATGAATATATTGCCTCAGCAAGTTTTTCTAGAATTTCAGACTTAATGTCTCTAGAAATGGTCAACAACGCACCATCTTTTCTATGAGCCTCATTGCCCTGTCTCAGCCTCAGCTCAACATCATACGAGAAGGTGGGAATAGTAAAGCAAGCTGGCCACAGCTGTGAACGACCTGAAGATGACTGTGAATGTTTGCTTGCTGAAGATGATGTAGACGGAGAGGAGACATAAGCTTGCAGTGTCTAAACTTGAGTCTGAAAAAGTATCTGCAGATGGATTGAAAAGGACCCTCAACGTCACTTTCTCCTCAGGCAGATCAGCTATATGTGTAAGGTTGCAAAAGTCATGAAAGTCTTCATCTTCATACTGAAGATCAAAGGACTCTTTTAGCTGCAGTTTGCTTTTTAGCACTAGTTTGAGGCCATCTACTGACTCAGGAACAGAATCAAGCTTAATTTTATGAATGTCCTGTTGCGAGATGATCACACAAAAAAGCATCTTGTTTGTAGACTGGAGCTTCCAGGGCTGTTATTAAAAGTTCAGAGAGGACCAAAAACAATTTAAAAATGTAGAAAACAACACAACTGAATGTATAATACATTGTAGATGAGCAGTTCACTACAAATGAAAAAATAATAGGCAAAATAAACAGCCCTTTTTAAAAACAAAAACAACAAAAAAAAAGGTTCCTTTGAATAGTGTGAAAACAAAACTGGATTTTTGAACATATTGTAATGCAAGTAAATATTATAAATAATTATGTTTTTAAGCCCTACAATTATACCTTAATGAAGCAGGAAGGTTTTTGGTGTCACCATTACTTTGCCTGCTCGAATGTATGGGTACAGCGGATGATATCCATTTAGCTCATGTGGTTCCACAATCTTTAGCTCAGATGCGTGGTTTTTCATCAGTTCATAACTCCGCAAATGCTCTATGTACCATGCCGTGAAGGGTTCAATGATGAACGAAACACTGTTTGACACAATGATTATTTTCACTAACTTGCCAAAGTCAGGCAGGCCACTGGTGTGTCCCACAGACAAAAACATTCCTTCTGAATACTTGGTGCCATGGAGACATGCATGAGTTGCAAGAGATATAGTGGTAATGCTAGCATATTTGAGCTCTATAGCCTTCTTTATGGAGTGCTCTAGTGTCTCAGGTGAAACAACAGCAACATGCCCTACCTCCAGGTCAGGTCTGAAAAGACTTGGCAGGTCTAAATAGTAAGCTAATGAAAGTTGGTGTTTTGTAGCAAGAGTTAGCAAGATATTTTTGAAATTCTTAACATCATGCACTACTCTTTTAAAAAAGCTGTGTTTCGCTTCGAAACGAATAGTCCAGAAATCAATCAGTGGTCCAAATCTACGAATAACTTCGGGGTAGTGTTCTAAGAAGTGATGCTTGGGCAGCAAGTGGAAATCTGGAAAAACTTCTTTTAACAAAGATCTATGGTCTGAGATTTTGGACTCTAGGTAGCACAAGGTCTCATTTGAAAACTGCGAAATAGCCAGAAGTTCAACAATGTCTTTCAAGTCTAATAAAATTTGCCATATTTTCTCTTTCTCAGGTATTTTGTCACCAATCATTAGTGGCAGTAATCGCAACAAAGTCCAGTTCTCATGGCAGTTACCACCAATGGAACCTTTCAATGCAAATGATTTTGGAATTTGTTGTGGTCTGTTTGTTTTATCAAGTAACTTGTAAGGAAAGGAATGGATGATTGCATTGAGATGATCTAACGTAAAATAATTCTTGGAAATCAAAGACTTCAGACATAAGCTCAACTCATTTGGTATTACGCCTTCCAGAAGGTCATGCATAAAATCTGGAGGAAATCCACGTATTGCGTGGAAATGAGAAAGTCTATTAAGAACACAGTCTCTTTTTACACCATCCAGTGGAAGCAAATGTGTACTCTTTTTCAATTCCAACAGGATGTGCTCATGAGCTTCAACTGTTCGGAGTGGGAAATGTCCCTCTCTTACTTCATGAACGTTTATGTCCGTGCGGCTAGCTAAACAAAATCTACAGAATTTATCAACATTAAAGCTTTCTTGAAAACCAGCAAGTGAGTGGGCTCCCAAATTGTCCGCGGACACATAAAGTACAGTACCTTTAATATTTGCTCCCAATTTCTGAATGTACAAACCTTGCTGCTCAAGTACTTCTACGTCTTTCACCAACGGCTGAAGAATGGAATCATAGCCATACTTTTTCACATCACTGCTGTAACAGAGACAAGCCAAATAGATGGACTGCACAGAGGACCTATACTGTATTGGTAAATTTGAAATCACCCAATAAACTGCACAGACCTTGTGCTTCTTTCTTGAAGTTCCTAATGGGTTACAAATTTCAAAGTCATCTATGTATAATCCCAGAGCTATGCTTAAACTATCTGAAGACAGCAACTGATTCTCTTTGCAATATAATCCATCTCTGTATGTCTTAAAATGAGTCAAATGTCCAAAAGCTTCTGTATCTTCTGTCTGCAAGATTTTATCTAGAACATCATTACGATTTAACAGTTCTGACAAAATTTTCAAAATCGGAACATAAACATATTTTCTTTTGGAAGATGCATCTAAAACATATTCAACAGGCTCAATCACTTTAAAATTTGCCTTGTAAAAGGTGGTTCTTCTGTATTCTGAACCAAAAGGACCGTTCTTTGACAGTGATAACAGGGGATTTGCTTTTCTGACTATCTCTGTTATGGCAGTGGTGATGGAATTATTTACTGTACAGTTGTGCTTAATCAATATGCTTTCAATTCATTTTGGTGTGAACTCTTCAGCAATTGAACAGATATTCCAGAGTTCATTTACAATTTCTTGAGTTGTTGCCTTAGACACATGAAGAACTGTTTGCATCCGAAGAAACAAGGAAGCTAATTTGTGTTGAAGCAATTCATGCAGGTCTTCATCATATTGTAAATCACAATCCGATGCAGAAAAGTCCACATGATCCAAATGTGCCTCAAAAGTCGAACTTTCAGAATTTGAGACACCAGGAGTGCAAAGCTGGTAGATGTCCCCACGAAAATTCTCTATGGTACACAGACGATGGCTTTTACTCTTATGGGCATGGAAAGTACTATAAACACTGGACTGAAAGCTGCAATTTTTAAAGGGACATTTTACAGTCTCCTTATTTCTGATATGAGTGTTTAGGTGTGCAAAATACTGTGTAATACTGCAGGTCTCAGAATAATTGCACAGATCACAGTTCAGCTTTGAGGTTGCAGTGCAGACCTGACCAGACTGTCTATGGTCTGTAGTCAAATGTTTCTTCAGCGCAAGTTCAGTTCTAAATGAGCACACACAGTCTTCATAGATGCAGGGTAGGGGACAATTACTTGCGTGATAGCAGTGTTTTAGTTTGTAGTGAATTATGAGAGTGCGCTGGTTGGGTGACGAGAAAGAGCAGACTTTGCAACACCACCTCATTGGCTGGGGGCAAGGGCCCCACACTGTGCAAACTTCAAGGAGACTGGAGAAATATGCACCAATGTAATCCTTTTAAAGAAAGAAAAAAATAAATAAAGAAATTTCATACACTTTTATGAAATCAGAGAGCATCCAGAGATGGTTTAATTCTTTTTTTCTCATCTCATATAATGATACATACAAAATATTTTAATGTATTCTATCAAAGTTAAAATGTACACTCATTAAAATGTAAACTTCTGTGAAATAAACAATGGAATTAAAAAACTAATATTATTGTCAAAGACAGCCTGTGGTGTGTGATTAATGTGCATTGTTATTCAAGTAGACCTAATAATTAAATTAATAATTATACTTCACTTAAAATGATCTTATACTGGAAGCTTTGGATTAGGAATGACATCATTCAAACTCAAACACCTACAAACATTTAAAATCAAATATTCATTTAAGTGGTCAGTTTGAAGCTTGTACTGGCTTACCTTTCAGTCCCACACCACCCCGACTGCACATGGTATTGCAGCAATTAACACCAGCAGGGATAGGCCCAACAAGACGTGAATCAGTTCACTGCCTGTAGCTTGATGGCTTGAAAGACAAAAGTTGATCACAAATATGTCAGGTAAACAACTCAAGCAAGCCAAACAACAGTCAAACAACAGTCAAACAACAGTCTAATAACTACATTTAGATGCAGTTCATTCACCAGGGCAAATTTTCATCAGTGACATTTGGGTCACTTAGCGTTACCACTCGTTTAATACTTAGACATTAGCAACGAACAGCCCCGTATATTTAAGTTTTGTTCACTTAGTGTATTTGTGGCTAGCCTACGGTTAACCTCATGTACGCTGTGCGTCACTAAACATCTAGTTTAGTTCTTCGACGGTTACTATTTACAAGTGACAAAAAGGTGCATTTTGTACGTCTAGCGGCATGCAGCTCGCGAAAACAGTCGTACGGAAAGCAGAACTGCAATACGATGCAGAAAGCATAACCGCAGTTCATTCGCCTTTGACTGGTAAAAGAATGCCACACTGCTAACACAGAGGCTTTTTCCAAGCGCAAACAGTGCGGTTCTCATTTATGATTCGACATGCCTTTCATTTAGGTCAGCTCTCGTGAAAGACACAAAATACGTTAGGAACTCATGCGGCTTCCTCGCGACCCGCGCCTCCACACTGCAACTCACAGCTAATCACTAGCTAGCTAGCTAACTTAACCTAGCTACCCTATCTAGTTACCTTTGACGTTAGGTTATCAGCACACAACAGAAAACATTTAGTAAAAAAATAAATGAATATGAAATTCCATAAGCCCATATGTAAACTCAGCTTGGACTATATTCAACTTATATAAGCTTCCTTTTTAGCCATCAACTGATATCCAAGTTAGCTAACTAGCAACTAACTAGGTTAGC